AGGCAGCTGCAGGTTCCTGGAGGGAACGTTGTGCTGCCATGAGGAAGAGAGTCCTTGGGTTCCTTGTCCCTGGGGAGTTTCCTTGAGCAGCTGGAAAAAAGCTGGCAACCACTTAAATCTCCCTGACTAAGCTCAGCTACAGGTTCAGTGTGGGGAAATGAGACGTTAGTGCTTCCAAGCCACTAGGTTCAGATACCCGCTTATAAAGCTCTTGAGCTTCTCTTTCAAGGGCATCAAGAATAATATTGATAGCTAATGTTGTTGATGTTGTTGTTGTTATCCTAAGTGGTTTGAAAACATTTTTAATGCTAATAATCCTGAGATGTAGGAACCATTATCTCTATTTTGTGCATGAGGCAACACAGGCACTGAGCAACTGGGTAACCTTTTTTGAATGAAGTGAGCATTTAATACAGGCTAATGTTGCACACTTACTAATGTGCCAGGCACATGTGCTAAGCACTTTATAGGGCTGAGTTCATATAGTCCTTAAAGGTATTCATGATAACTTGACATGGGTGAACAAGTGTCTATCTGTCTCTCTCTTTTTTTGTATTCTTTCACTGGTCAAGAGATTTCTTTCTGCATAGCAACCTTCTGCTATTTAATTTTACCCTTTCTTTGTGTTGACTTATACTATGACTATTAACAGCAGGTCAATTCAAATTCTTGTTTTTTTTAATACTATCTGTCATTCGATCGATTGATCGATCGGTGCTGGGAATCAAATCCAGAGCCTCACACATGCTGGGCAAGAGCTCTACCACTGAGCTATAGCCCTAGCTCTTACCTTGATCATTTTTATTTATTTGATAACTTTAAAGATTGATTACAAAACTATTTTGTTTTATGCAGTCAGTGAAGAGAGATGATCTCTAGATATTGAATGAGCAAAGAGTTAGTTCATAAGTTTGTAAAATATTGATGATATTTCTGAGGGAAAGGGAATTTTCTGAACTTTGTACTAAATTTGATTTAAGCTTAAATATAATTTTTGTTTTCTTTTGCTTTTACTTTTTATTTTAGTTCACTTTGAAGAGTTTGGAATGATCTTTTTATTTATTTTAGAAAGACAGGACGTTCTAATGCTATGAGCAGGAAGAATATGACTTGTGGGCTATTATATAAATGGTCATGTTGTGCATACAGTGAATAAAAATCTAGACAATTATATATATATATTTTTTTTAATAATAGCAGTTGAAAGAGGAAGGTAATGATGAAAGGAGATTTGGATCATGGTTCAAATTTTATGCTTGCTACAAGTGCCGAACTGAGTTTTTACTACTTTATGCTGTCTATTTAATGACTAAAGAACAAAGTAATCTCCAGGAACTTCTAAACATCATCACCCTGTGCTGAATCTATTTTTTGTCAAGCGATTTCATAGTGAGTGTATGTCAGAACGGCTCTCGATGGCCATTGTGTGCTAGAGATGGTACCAGAGTGGGCAACAAGCTTGTTTCTCAGGACCTTAGGAAAACATTTCACTATGTCCTCCCAGTTTTCTTATTTGTGAAAAAACAGAGTTGACATTATTCCTTTTTTTCTTCTTCTTCTTCCTATATTTTAAAATTTTGTCTCTCCCTTAGGTTTTCCAATCCAGTTATGTTTTTTATTTCCCCCTAATTTTTAAAGTATTTAATTCTCAGGCCAAAAAGTTAAGTAATACTTTCTTATTTGTGAAAAAAACGGCAAGTAGTGTATTTGCCTTGTGGGGTATATTAGTCAGTTTTCTGTTACTGTAATATATACGGAGGTAACTTAAAAAGAAGAAAGGTTTATTTTGGCTCACAGTTTCAGAGGTTTCAAGACAGTGGTCACTTGATTGTTGCTTGGTGGCACAACACATTATCATGGGAGTGGGTGGCAGAGGAGGCCTGTTTACCTCATGGTGACCAGGAAGCAAAAAGAGAGAGAGACAGGAAGGGCATGTCCCCAAAGATCTAACTTCCTTCCACTAGGCCCCACCTCCTAAAAGTTCCCACAGTAGTACTTTAGCTGGGGACAAAGACTTTAGTATGTAGGCCTTTGGTGGAACTATAATTGTTATATTGTGTGCATGTATAAATATGTGGCAACAGATCCCATCATTATATACAACTATAATGCACCAATAAAAAAGTAGAAGTTGAGGCTGGGGATGTGGCTCAAGCGGTAGCGCGCTTGCCTGGCATGCGTGCAGCCCGGGTTCGATCCTCAGCACCACATACAAAGATGTTGTGTCTGCCGAAAACTAAAAAAAATAAATATTAAAAATTCTCTCTCTCTCTCTCTCTCTCTCTCTCTCTCTCTAAAAAAGTAGAAGAAAAAAATTCAAACTATAGCAGCAGTTATTGGAAGAATGAAATTAATCCATGCCAAAAACCAAGGACCCTACCTGGCACCTATATGCAATGCAGTTTTCCATTGCTTAAAAAATTATTATTCCTCTCACTGTGGCACATTACTGGGTTTCCTGAGGCTGTGGCCATGTTCTTACATCTGGAGGTCAGCACTGGCCCTCAGTAAGGGCAGGTGAGGTGCAGCATTCAGCATGTTCTTCCGACTGCTTCAGGCCTTACGTGCATGGACCTGCTGTAGGGTCTCTTTGAAATGTCTTTTGACCTTTTTAAATGGTGATGGGGGGCTGGAGATATAGTTCAGTTGGTAGAGTGCCTGCCTCACATGCACAAAGCCCTGGGTTAAATCCCCAGAACCACAAAAACAAAAACCAAAAACTAAATGGAGGTAGGTGGATAATGGATGGAACACTGGTATTCTAATGTACACTGGACATCTGATGAAGATTGTTGTTGGGATCCCGATGGGTTTTGGAATCAGAGATCAGGATTCTGGTTTTTCCCAAAGCAACTTCTATAATGTCATTTAACCTCTCCATGATAAGGTTTCCTTATCTGAAACAAGGTGGTTGTGATGCTCACGTCATAAGGTTCTTTTGAAGATTTAATTTAAGAATGAAAAAGCCTTAATGTAGAGCCTCGATAATAGCAAAAATGTTCAAGACTGGCAGGTAACTATTATTTTAATGAGTGCTGAGTGACTAAGACACTCCCATCTTTAATTTTTGGTGTTTTAATGGAAGCACAACGTATAATTCTCTGCCTTCTTACCTTATTGAACTTATTGCAGGAGTTTGACACCGTGAAGTTAGGGCTGGGACTCTAGGCATTGTTTTGTCTCTGGCGTTTGCTTCCTGCCCTTGTGAAAGTATATTACATGTGAAAGTATGTGCATGTGAAAGTATATTACACTTGCATGCAGAATAGCACTGTGCTTTCAAGGTAGTATCAAGGAAGTAAAGCTGTTGACTTTGTCTTTTCTAGTGTTTCTGGTCTCTGTCAGCATCATGTAGGTTTTTGCTGCTCATTCCTCTTATTCCTGCAAGATGTTGCCTTAGAAAGAAAAGAATGAGTTCTAAAAGTAAGGTACCTGACCTTGCTTCACATTCATCGCTACAATGGAAAAATAATGGAAATAATGCTTGCCTATTGAGTAGGGTGAATATAAGAATAGTATGAGAGGGAGCTTGTGAAAGTGTTGAAGTGTTATACCAACAATTAACATCATAAAGTAGTGGCAAGAAATGGACTTATGGTAGAGGTTAATGATAACAGCATAGAGTTGTGATGAACATTAAATTCTCTAATATAGAAAAGTAATCCAGAATATGGAAGGTGTATGATAACTACTCCACAATTTTTGTGTTTGTATAAGCTTGGCAGTGGCTGTTGCTTCTGTAATTGTTTTATTCTATTGCCTATTTTACCCTGTTTTCTACTTTTCCCCAGTTTCTCCACTGGCTTCTTTGCAAAGACTGGTCGTAAGCTAAAATGCCTGTCCATCAAGTACTCTTACTTTCTAGTGAGTGGAAATTGTACCATCAAAAGTTCAACCTTTGGGTTTCCATCTGTTTCTGGCCATGGTGATAAATAACCAGCCTCTTCTCCAGGAAGGCTTCCTTTAAAGTCATTCTGGATACCTAAGAGTGCCAGAAATTTAGCTTGTAAAATTGTCTTCATTAACTTAACAAACCTTAGTCTTTGTAAAGCATGATGCTCCTTTCTGTGTACTATGAGAAAGTTAGAGGTAGAATTAGATAATGATTTTATATTGATGTTATATAAAACCCCATGCATGTTTGTTTATGAAAAAATCTAAATATCATTTATTTCCTAATTTTCTATTAATATTTGTGGTATGTAACTAACATCTACCTATGTATAATTAGAAGCAGATGGTGAAGGCTTAAGGAACATTTGTGGGATTAAGAAATGAAAATAAAACCATTTATGTGCATTTTAAAATGTAGCTTTTATTATTATTCAGGTATGGTGAGGTCAGCAGATCAGGACGCAACTGTGATGAAAGATAGTTTGTTCCTCACAGGTTCCATATGAAGAGCAGACCACATCACACAGGGTCACAAAGGGAAGTGGCAGGTCAGGCTGGAGGCAGAGGGAGTCAGAGGAAAGGATTGGCCTTTTTTGTGGTTTCAATGGGGGGGCCAGGTAAGCAGTTCAGGATCAGCTAGGTTGAATAACTTCAGTGTGCTCTGGGGTGTAGATGCTGCCTGGGGTGACTGGGGCAGAGGTATGTTGCCTTCTTGAATGTAGACAGAGAGGTCCTTGGCAGGATTGGGGTCTGGCTTGGTTAGTTGCATCTGGAAAATGTTCTTACAAGGGAATAGTTTTCTTTCTCCAGGAATTAGCTAGCCTTGGAAAGGGGCAGCCTTTCCTGGGCCAACGACAGGGCCTCAGATTGTGGAGCATTAAGAATGTAGGAAATAAAACCGAGATTTCTTCCAAGACCTGGGCAGCGGACGTCTCCCCCCCCCCCCCCCCCCGGAGAAACCATTATTATGGCAATCAGATTGCTGGGCCGGCGGGGATTGCGGTCTGTGCTTCGGAGCAAGTCTCTCTCTTTGAGAACCTTGGCTGGGGATAATCGGTGCCACTTCTTCATGAACGAACCCCCTTCCTTGTACTCCTACTGGAGAGAGTTTTCCAGGGACACAGCTTAGAAAAATGCAGGCCTCATGTGTCACCAACTGCTGACCCACCGCCTTGATGACAGCACCCCTGTGCACCTTCCCAGTTCAGTTCCGGCAGCCCTCAATCAGCGGCCTCTCACAGATCACCAGAAGCCTGTACATCAGCAATGGTGTAGCTGCCAACAACAAGCTCTTGCTGTCCAGCAACCAGATCACTTCAGTCATCAATGTCTCAGTAGAGGTGGTAAATACCATCTATGAGGATATCCAGTATACACAGGTGCCTGTGGCTGACGCACCCATCTCCAAGCTCTATGACTTCTTTGACCCCATTGCCGACCACATCCACAATGTGGAAATGAAGCAGGGCCGTACACTGCTACACTGTGCCGCTGGCGTGAGCCACTCAGCCACTTTGTGCCTTGCCTACCTCATAAAGTACCATGCCATGTCCCTGCTAGATGCCCACACATGGACCAAGTCATGCCGGCCCATCATCCGACCCAATGCTGGCTTTTGGGAGCAACTCATCCATTATGAGTTCCAGCTGTTTGGCAAGAATACTATACACATGGTCAGCTCCCCAGTGGGAATGATCCCTGACATCTATGAGAAGGATGTCCATTTAATGATTCCACTGTAAATCATCTCCTAGGCCCCTGCTTTGGGTCCAAGTACAGACCTATTGTTGATCCTATATCAGGATCTGAACTTGAAGGATCTTTGTTGATACAGGAATGTACTAGATGATACCTTTTATAAGGGAAAAAAAAAGAAAGTGATACCACAGCTTTCAACTTTGTAACCTATATCTTTAAAGATTAAACTTGATTGTTAGAGGTGAAGATAAATTTTCTACCCTATGAGTGGCAGGCCATGGCTGCTGGCCAGAGGGTGAAATAAGGCAGGTGGTACACTGGAGAGAAACCAGAGCACCAGCGCCTGGAATCCTGCTGCCCTTCGCTAGACTGAACAACTCATAAATGAGACTGCCACAATCCTACTTTGTTCCTTCCAACCCAAAACCAGAGCCTTAAGCATCATGGCACCCCCTGAACTTTTTACAGTAAGTGCCAACCTACTGGATAAGTGGCCTTCAAATATTGCTCTAGGAACCCTACAGGCCCCAAACAACCTACATCCATCAGTGGCCCTACTCTAGTTTTCTAAGATCAAATTTACACAGAAGATAGTTTTCAAATAAACATTCCAATATTATATATTAAAAAAAAAAAAAAAAAGAATGTAGGAAATAGTAACTGCATTACGTTTTGTTCTTGTGGATAAGGAGAAAACAGCCCTGATTGATTTCAGTGGTGGACCTCTTGGTTTAGCATGTGACATGTGGATCTGGAACAAGGAGCTAATTTAGGTGTAAGAACTCCCCCGTTGGAGTTGGTAAGGCTGTAATTTTGGATTGGTCCGCGTGTGATCCACTTGTGTTCTTACAGAGTAGAGCTCTGTTGAGAAGCCAACATAGCACAAATTTTTATCTCTTTGCAGACACTGGACTTGCCCACACTGATGAGAGGTGACTGGAGATGGTGCTTCAGCAAAACTTTGTCCCACTGCTATGAGAAATAACCTTGCAAAGTAGCTCATCCTTGGTTGCTTGCCTTTTTTTTTTTTTTTTTTTGGTGCTGGGGATTGAACCCAGGCCCTTGTGCATGCAAGACAGGCACTCTACCAACTGAGCTATTTCCCCAGGCCAGTTGCTTTGTAATGTGGTAGTTCTTCAGGGAGGATAGTACAGCAGGGTATTTCCTCATGTCAAATCAGTGCCATTTTTATTCAAGCTATCCTCGTGTATTGTATTTTTCTTCTGATGATCTTTGATTTTTGCACAGCTTCTTTTACTTTCTTTTGGTGATGGGGATGAAACTCAGAGCCTTATACATGCGAGAGATCCACTCTACTACTGAGCCAGAATATTTTATTTTTCTTTCTTTCTTTTTTTTTTTTTTTTTGTGGTTCTAGGGATTGAATTTAGGGCCTCATGCATGCTAGGCAAACATTCCACCACTGAACTATATCCCCAATCCTCCTCTTACTCTTTAGTGTATACCAATAGAATGCATTTTATAAGTAAAATGGACAGTATAGTGTAGTAAATTAAATAGGCATTTTAGTTTTTATTCTTTTTTTTTCTGGACCAGAAGATTTCTACTCTGATTTTTTTTTATCTTGAAATTAATATTTTGTATAATTTTCTTATAATTTAAAAAATTTACAAAATTTGCTGGGTGCATGCCTGTAATTCCCCAACTCAGGAGGCTGAGGCAGGAAGGTCGTAAGTTTAAGACCAGCCTCAGCAGCTTGGTGGGACCCTGCCTCAAAATAAAAAATAAAAAAGACTAGAGGTGTAGCTCAGTGGTAAATTGCCCCTGGGTTCTTTACCAAAAGAAAAGAGAAAAAAGGAAAAAAAAACAACATACCAACAATTTAGGAAATGCTCCCTGCCCGCCTCCCCAGTGGGGAATTGATCTTAGAACCTCACACAGTGGTAGGGCATGTGCTCTACCATGAAGCTACTCCACCCCCTGAAATTCATGCTTAATGTTAAAACCCTGGAAACTAGGGCAAGGTAAAGAACAGAAAGGTCATCTAACATCCCACAACCCTGATTATATTTTAGTGTATTTCTCTTTCACAAGTATGCCCTTTAGCACTTTTTCTGTGTTACATTAAAGACATCTTTTTCAGGGATTGTGTGTTAGTCTGTCATAATTTCCATATCTTGTTATCTTGAAATAGTGTTTGATCTCACTGGAAACTTATTTTCATTGCTGTCACTGAAGGGGCCTTGTGAATAAAGATGTAGGTATGTAGCTTGTCATCATTTAAATGCAGTTTTTAAGCCAGGCGCTGTGGCCCATGCCTGTAATCCCAGCGGCTTGGAAGGCTGAGGCAGGAGGATTGCAAGTTCAAAGCCAGCCTCAGCAACCTAGTTAGGTCCTAAGCAACTTAGTGAGACCCTGTCTCTAAATAAAATATTAAAAAGGGCTGGGGATGTGGCTCAGGTAAAGTGCCACTGGGTTCAATCTTGGGTACCAAAAAAAAAAAAAAAAGATGAAGAAGAAAAATGCTGTCTTAATTTTTTTATAGTCCTGGGGATTGAACCCAGGCCTTGTGCATAAGAAGCAAATGGCAAATACTTTACCACTGAGCTATGCCCCCAGCCCAACACAGGACTGTTTAAAGGTGCAGTTTGAACACAAACCTGTGCCTGCTGTTGGTCTGGTTTCAGATGACCACCTGGGGGAATTTCTGGCTCCCTCGATGCCCATGCTGCTGGCCTGTGAGCCATACTTGAAGTGTCAGGAGCTGAGGTAATTTAGGATGCACTGCCAGGTTTCTGTTCTTGAGACTAAAAGGCTCAGGGGTTACTCCAGTTGAACTGGGCTAACTGGGCTGCGCAAAATAACCACACAAGAGACACAAATACCTTTTTCTTTGGGGTCGCTGTGACGGCTCCTCTGACCTTAAGGGTCTGCAGGAAGAGAGAGCAAGAGCACGTGCTGACCCCTTTTATTGAGGAGAAGCTATTCAAATGAGGCAAGGGGTCAGGTTTCAGGGAGCTGAGTCTATCTTCATGATGTCCACTGTCAGCAGGGTGACTAACATCTAGGTAGGCCACACCCAAGGGCACAGTAAGAGAAGGGGACATACACAAGGCACTTCCATGGAACATTCTATCCTAAACAGGGCAAGGGGTTATATTACAAAGGAACAGGTGAGCATAGCTTCACCCATGGGGCTGTAGCAAGACACAGTCACTCGAACCCTAGAAGAGTGGGGTAGTCTAGCAGCATGGGTGCCTGACTCCACATGGCCCAGCAGAGGAGTTAACTCAGTCAGGTGCGAGGTTGGTCTCCCACAATGCACCAAGTGCTCTCTGCTTCTTCTATGAAGCAGTCCCTGCTTTTGTTCTGAACTATGTATATGGGGACCCTTTTCACTTCCTGGCTTCATCCCTCATCCAGGCATTCAAGACTCTAGCTCTTCCCAGTGGCCTTTGCATATCCACACACTTAGCAAACCTCTGTCCTGTTTACCCCAGCAAGCTCCTCAAGTTTCCCCAGGACACCCTCCACCTATCAACACCCTACCACAAATCAGGAGCCCAGTTTTTTTTTTTTCCAGTTACTTCTATCCACCCAGTTCCCTGTCTGGGAGCTCAGGGCTAGTGCGGTTTCCTTCTCTTCCATGGAGGGTGGTGGCTCCCACTTCAGAGGCACCATGGCTCAAACTTGTCTTGACCCACCCTGGCTCTCCACTTGGGACTCTATGAACACCAAGGCCTTGGATTTCCCTGGGAGAAGGAAGGAAGGGCGAGACAGATTCAGGGCCTTCAAAGGAGCCCTGTTTGTTCAGTTCAACATCACTCCACCCAGCGACTGGAGAAATGCTAGGTTTGACTGAACAAATAATAGTAATTAAGATCATTTCCTGAACTGCCTACCCCTTGGGCCTGTTTACCTTGCAGCCCAATAATAGTTCATTTAGGGTATATGTTAGCCTTGCTTTGAGGCCTTTTGTTTGATTCTGATGATGGGGTGCTGGCCTTTACAGTACAGGGCTGACAAGAGCTGTACCTTTGTAATTTCAAAAAGTAGAGGGAGCACCACTCCCAGCATAATCAGGTGGCTTGTTTGATGCAAAAGAAGTGCCTCAGGGGAGACCTCTCTTTAGACCCCCACACTTGCTTGTGTTGCCTAATGAGTAAGAAGCAGGAAAGTGAAGGTCAGAAGAGCATTGTGCAGTGCGGGGGAGCATACGAGGTCATTTTCATTTCAGTTGGTGTTATGATGAAAGTATGATTTCTGGCCTTGAGGCTACCCTGGAACTTGACTGTCAGCCTACTGAGTCACTGGGAATTCAGGCATGTGCCACTGTACCCCGCTGTGGACCCTTTTGCAATGTATTTTGGGGTACTGGGGATTTAACCCAGGGACATGTTATCACTGAGCTATATCCCCAGACCATTTTATTTTATTTTAAAAATTTTCAGATGAGGTCTTTCTAAGTTGCTTAGGGTTTTGCCAAGTTGCTGAGGCTGGTCTTGAACTTGCGATCCCCCTGCCTCAGCCTCCCAAGTCACTGGGATTATAGGTTTGTGCCGCTGTGCCCTGCACTTCAGTGCATTTTCTCAAGTTGGGGGCCCAGGGGGAATTGCACTCACATGGTAGTTCTCTGCCTATTGGTGCGTGGAGGCAGCACATATCTGAATCAGTTGAGGATGTTGGGGTTGTGAGTCATCTGGCTTTAGAAAGATGACCTGGTTCAGAAGTGGGTAGAGGGTGCTGAAAAAAATCTACTGGGTATCTGGGCAGTGCTTCACCGCAGAAAAAGCAATGAACTTTTTCTTGTTAAATAGAGTACACCTATGTATTCCTTAAAGTGAGAGAGGGAGATGAATTTCAAGGATGAAAGAAGAGAGCTAGGAAGAAGCCTTCCTCAAGTCTTGAGGGACTGATGGAAGGTAAAATTAACTGTGAGAAAATGTTTTCTCAGCTGTCGGAAATCAGTACAGCTGTTACTTTGGCTCTAAGAGAAAGCTGTCTAACAGAGCCTTTCATGTACCCCCAGCCTCTCATACAGAAGGGGAGGGAGCTAAAGGGGCAAGGGTGACTCTGTAGGAGGTTACTGTGGGCCTTTCCCTCCCTTTGTCCTTCCAGAGCCTCTGCTCCTGCCTCTGAGCGCCGACACCATCCAGTACAGTGATGGTTTTTCAAAGCAGAGACCTGAAGTCTGACTCTTCTTTTTCCAATTTGCTTTTATTCATGTATTGCCTTCATGTTGTCATTTTGTGAATCCAAAAAAGTAGGATTATATGGAATCCTCTGACTGTCGTGGACACCCCAATGTAGGTGAAATATGTGCAGGCTTCTCCAAACCTAGGGGTAATTTACTACTGAGCCATATCCCTAGCCCTTTTAATTTTTTTTTTATTTTGAGACTGAGTTTCACTAAGTTTCCAAAACTTGCCTTGAACTTGAGATCTTCCTGTCTCAACCTTCTGAGGAGCTGGGATTATAGATGTGTGTGCCACTGTGCCCGTGAGGCTGACCTTCTTGGAAGGGAAATGACTTTGTCACTTGGCAGTGGTCAGAGGCATTATTTTGAATAGTGACCCCCTTCTGTTGCATAGGGAAGGAAAGTGGCCAGTAGTTGATCTTGCATCTGTGTTGTGAGGGGGGTGCAGAGGAGCGATGTGGTGGGACATTTTCTGCTGTCTGCTTTTCAGGTGGGGGAAGGGAGGGAGGTACATCAGGAGTGGGCCCTGATCATGGGGTAGGCTTAACTGTACAAGCCCACTTAGTTTTGTGGCCACTCTGGGGTTAGTGTGTTGTGTCCCAGATTTTCATTTTAACTATGTTGTGATGGAAACCTTTCAAAACCTGCAACTTAGACGCTGCCTTCTTACTAGGGTCACCATAGCATCTTTTAAACCTATTTGCCATGACTTCTCACTTAGTTGTCTTGAATGTCTATTAATGTATTGTAGATATTGAACCGTGGAACACAGAGACTGAGTTATTGGCCTGTTCGCCTTCCAGACTGCTGAGTTGTTTGTACCAGTGTAGTTTTTGCTTGCCCACCAACGCCTGCCACTAGACTTGTCCTTGAACCAAATCACCTCACCTTTCTGAGCCTAAGTTCTCACTTCATGGAAATGAGGACTGGATAAGATCAGAGGTTTTTGATCTTTTTGATCTAACTAGACATTCCCCAGTTTGAGTTGAATTTTCTGGATGCTGAATTAGATTAAAATCCACTAGAATTTGAACTTTATGAGGGTACTACTAGCTCCTCAAGCTAGCCCTGCTCACTAAGAAGTTTTGGATAAACATTTGCCATATAAATATTTAACTACCTTTATAGCATTATATTATAGCTCATTCATGTCTCATACACTGGAGTTGTGTGTAGAATTTTATCTGGTAGAGAAAGGAGTGTATCCCTGCTAAGTCTGTGTCACTGTGGCTCTCCTGAGCTCGGAGGTCCTCCCTGCCCCAGATCTCTGAGAGTAGTGAAATGAGCTCATTTCTGTTCCCCAACTCAGAACATAGTTTTGCCTCTTGTTGGCTCTGTGGCCCTACCACCCGTCTGTAAAGCACTCTGTGGCTTGGCAGGGCTTGGGAATTGGGCTGGCATCAGGCATCTCTTGGAAAGGGTTTGCCAGATTTCTCCATTGCAGCATAATCTCCATGACACAATGAGGCAAATTTTGAGTTTAGTGTTTCAGTAGCTGCCAGTTGATAAGCTGTTATTTATAAAGTAGAACAAGAAGATTCCACTCTTGCTCTTTTATGAGAGTATTTTTGAATTTTTCCTTTTCCTTAGTTTCTTCTTCTTCTTCTTCTTCTCCTCTTCCTTTTCCCTTCCTTCCTTCTCTCCCCCCACTTCTTTGTGTGTGTGTTGTGGTGTGGTGCTAGGGAGCTCCACCACTAAGATACACCCCCAGACTTTTTTGCACCACTGCACCTGGCCATGGTTTCATTTTCTTACACCCCTTTCCTCTAGAAATTGAGCTTGACTCTTCTTTTGCTGCTCTGTTCTGCTTCTTCAGAAGGTACAAATAACTGTTCCAATAGCTTGGTTGTTTCCTTAGTGGAAATAAAGGTACAAAGACAGCTTTAGTTTGAGCATTTGACAGGCATTTTTATACACACAGAAGGGCCTTTCTCAAATTGCTGGGATGCTCCTTTGGGTTCAAACCTGGGTTCATACTAGGCCCATAAACCCAGGCAGGCTGATTCAGTAGCTCTTGCTCTTTACCCTTAAATCGGTGATTCTCAACTGTGGAACAGTTGTCTGGAGACATTTTTGATTGTCAGGAGTTGCAGAGGAGTAGCTAGTTGATACTGGCATCTAGCTGGAACGGGCCAGGGACACTGCTAACCATTTCACAGTGAGCATAACAGCCCCCAGGATAATGCACTATCCATCTCCATTATCAGAAGTGCTTGGTTTGAGAAACCTTGATCAAAGGATTTTCCTCCCAGGAATACTGGTTTTCTTTTGAGCCCTCAGAACAAGGTGGAGTTTACTTTTAACCTTAAATCGTACAGATTCTATCAACCTACTAAAATATATAGTGGTCCCCTCTTATGTGGGGAGAATATGACACAAGACCTACAGTAGATGCCTCAAACCCTGCATAGTAACAGATCCTGTGTAGACATTGTTTTTTCACATAAGTCCATATGACAAGGTCTAGTTTATAAATTAGGCACAGTAAAAGATAAACATCAATAAGTAATAATAAAATAGTTCACCATAACAGCTGTGTCTTTTCATTAGTATTTTGCAATAAAGGAAAGTATGTTTATATCCCCCAAACTAAAATAGAGCAATTATAACAATGTACTATAATAAAAGTTATTTACAACTTATGAATTGTTTATTTCTGGAGTTTTCCACTTAATGTTTTCAAACCTTGATGAACTGAGAGTAACTGAAGGCATGGGAAGCGAAACCACAGATAAAGGGGGACCGTATCAAGTGTGGTATTTTTATAATTATACAAGTAGAGAGGGTGAGGTGATGGAACGATCAATGGAAAGACTCCAACTGTCGTCTGAGAGCAGAGAACCTGATAAACATCCTTTTGGTTCTGAGAGTAACCCTAACCTCGTGAGAAAGAGGCTCCCAAAAAAGAAGAGCAGCTCAGCCCAAGGCCCCGTAGTAACCTAAAGCTGGATACAGCCCATCGTTGCCCAGTTCAGACTTGGCTCCAATGGCTCGGGGTACCAAGTTGATGCTCGACTGCACTTTTTCTGGAAGCACTGTTGAGGGTGGAAACTAACATGTTCTAGAACATGGAAATCTGTGTGAGAAATAATCATTTTCTAGTGCGCAGTACAGCAGGGATTTTCTTTTTTTAATGACTCAATTACAGTAATAGTTCACTCTGGCTGTGTTTTACCAGTGGAGTAGCTGATGTAGGCTTCATTTACTCTCTGGCTGATTCATTTCACAAATATTTGAGTGCTTACCACCTACGAGATGGGACAGGAATGCTGTTTGGTTTTGTTCCCAAATAGAAACTTGTGGTCATGTTTTTCTAATTATAAGATATGTGCATGTTGCAGAGCTTGGAAAATACACAACAGCATTATCACTCAATCCTACAGTTCCCCTAACTACTGTTCATACGTTGGTATATCCTTCTAGATTGTTTTTTTTTTGTTGTTATTGCTGATCTATGACGGTTATATTTTTAGCCCAAATGCTGTTGTCTGAAGTGTGGAACACAGAGGCTGAGTTCTATTGTGTTGTTAACTGTTTTCAGTTGATACTACATGGACATCTTTCCATGGCAGTTAGTTTTCCTGTGTAACTAGAAAAATCATTTTAATGAGTGAATTAAATTGTATAAGATGAATCTATCATAATTTAAGAGATCAGTACTCTCTGTTGAATATTTAGGTTTCCTTTCTCATCTCAAACATGTAGATGGCTATATATGTATGTATGTGTGTTGTGTATGTATCATACATATAAATATATA